AAAACTTGCACAAAGAAAATGGCAGCAGGTATATATTTACACATTCAGGCAGGACTACAATGCCGCCAAGAAATTTGGGGCATGAAAGTGGACTGGGATATGAAGGGATCATGAGTAAATAAGGGAAAAGTGTATATTTAGTCACAATCAGGGTATTTTTCTTTGTTTTGGTTGTTTGGTTAAACTTCTGTGTGAATCTATCATGTATTCCCTCTCCCACTCGCCATATGTGAGCTACTGCTCAGATGTGTCATTTTTCTCTGTTTTAATCTGTTCTTTTCTCAGTTGCTCTGTACCATCTAGCAACAAGTATGCTTTATCATGTATATTTTCTTTTGTTAATAAAAAACACCTTTTCTAAGGCGATGATTTGATTCTTGTGTCCTGGAAAGTAACAGGAGTTCTGTGTGTTTGCCTGCCTAAACTGAGAGAGGTCAGCAATCATGGACACAGTTTATTTTCTGTGTTTTTTGTTTCTTCCCCCCCCCCCATAAGGGCAAAAGAGATTGGGGTACACCTTAGGAAGTATTCCAAGTGTTTCTCCCCCCTTTTTTTAGGGATTAAATCACTTGATGGTGGCAGCTACCTCACAAAGTCAGTGAAACCGTGACTCTGAGGAGTTTTTGTGAGCAGAGACTATAAAGGCAAGGTACTTAAGGTCTCTTGAGGGCCCCCACCTTCTGCACTCTGAGGGCCAGAGTGGAGAACAGCTCTGACAAGTTCTAATTTACCCCTAAACGTCTTTTAAGAGCCCAGCAAGCAGTGCAAATGTTGGTAATGTTGCTAGACAATACTGACCTTTGGTGGTTTGGCAAATTCTCTGGTTTGCCAGCGGTCAGGATCCAAGGGAGCCAGACTAGAGGGGTTCAACCAGTAATAATAATAATGTGGGATTATACTCAGAGAAAAGAACCTGGGTTACAATTGTATTAGCTCAGCCTAATGAGACGAGAACAACTTCTATTCAGCTCATCTGATTGATAGTTGCAGGAGTGCTACCTTGAATGCACCACTTTCAAATCTTCAGAAAGCAGGAACTTCCCCCAATCTCATGTCTGCTAGATCTCGAGAATCCCAGAATTACTTGCATAATGAAAAGTGTACACTATTTTGTATACATATTCAATATTTAAGAAATAATTTACTAGTGCAGTGTATAAATTCATGAATGGACAGCCACAAGGTTTTACACTGTTCTCCTCTTTGACTATTAAGGGTGGAAGTAGGGTTAATTTTGGTAAGTTGTGTCCAAGGCCTTAGAGTTCACCCAAGTTAGCAGAAAGAGGTACTCTGATTCACTTCCAACCTGTACTTAGATTTTCTTGACAGTTGTTTGGAAAAACAGATCTTCAATAGTTAGCCTTGCATGTTAAAAGGTAGCAGTGTACGTGTACACATATACACCTACTAATGGGTGTTTCAAGAATGGGTAGGTTAATGCCACGGGATCTCAATGTTATTAGGTGAACTCTGAAACTACTGCAGGCCTGATAAAAGTTACTTGTATACCCCTCCCTCCCAAAAAAAGAAAATCTACACAAAATAGTCAGGCAGAGAAATGTAATCTAGGAGTTCATGGCTATTTGTGGAATGAATGAACCATCTTAGCTTGAAGCACCTTGGCATCTAACATACATATAACAAAGCTTTAAGACTCAGATTTGCCACAATTGGCAGGAAGGATGGAAAATATGAAGGAGAGCAAAAGCTTAGTGTAGACGTTGCCTACACTACCTCTCCATCCCTCCCACGCATAGGAAACATCCAGATGAAATCTCTTGGGATGATTTACAAAGCACAATTCTCGCAGAAATCAATAGAAACCAAGGGTAGACACCACCTCTGAAAAAGTATTTTCTTGTTACTCATAGTGCCATAGTTCAACATTAAAGCAAGAGAAATGTCACAGAGGAATTTATACTGAGATCATCTACATTCAGTGTGACAAAACAGTATTAGATTACATACACACACCTCCCTCTCTCTCTCTCTCTCATTACCTGTTTTTCTGCAAAATGGTACTGGCAAAGTTTTTTCCACAAATGCCTGTCTTCACTGAGCATGTATAGTGTTGGGGTCACTTGACCTAGTGTAATAATATCCCAGCCATCTGAGAATCTGTATAAAATGTTATTCAGCATATGCAGAGGGAGGTCGCTGAGTGTGAGACCGTTGCTGACTTGCTGAAAAATAAGAATTAACTTTTAACTGCATGGAATTATTAGTTTAATTTATAAATACAGATTTCAATTTTACATTTACACCAATAAAGCTACCTCACTTTTTTTCCCCCTCAGCTTTTAGAATTATATTTTTTTATAATTTATAATTACATAAAAACAGCCATACTGGGTCAGATCAAAGGTCCAGCTAGCCCAGCATCCTGTCTTCTGACAGTAGCCAATGCGAGGTGCTCCAGAGGGCATGAACACAACAGGCATTCATCAGGTGATTCCTCTTCTATAACCCATTTCAAGCCTCTGAGAAACTATTTCTACCCAGCCTGGTTGATGAACCTATCCCTCCATGAATTGATCTAGTTATTTTTGAACCCTGCTAAAGGCTTGGTCTTCACAACATCCTCTGGCAAGGAGATCCACAGGTTGTGCATTGCGTAAAGAAATACTTTTGTTTTTTTAAAACCTGCTACCTATTAATTTAAATGATATAATTTTAAATTGTGTGCGTGCTCCCTGAAAAAATTTGCACATGAGTATTTTTGCTAGTTTGATATTTTGATCATTTTATTTTCAGTATTTGTTAAGATTATTCTGCAAGTTTGTTGTTTAATTTTCAATAACACAAGGAACAGAAGTTGAATAATGTGATTTTGCAGCTCTTAGTTCTTCTCGTGTAAAGTGAGTGATAATTCTGAGAATGTAAAGTTATGATTTTGATGCAAAAGCTTTGGAAATTAAAAGCAAATTAATTCAAGGATTACAAAATTATCCAAAAATATGGAATCTGAAAGTTAGTTAAAAGTTACATACAACAGCATAGTATAAATTGTGTATATTATTTTGAGTTTAGGATGTTGTGTATACACACTCTTATTCTATTAAGCAGGATGTGCAATAGATTTGGAATGTAAGAGTTGGAGGGAAGAGAGTAAGACAAATCCCACCTCTGTAGAGAGCTCCCCAACAGATGAAATACTGCCACTGTCACACTTACAGGAGATCAGAATATACAGTGGGTGACCAAAAGGAGTCCTCTTTTATAGTCTCTGTGCAGCAGAACCTAAGGTGGGGGCTAGGGAGAGTCTCTTCCTTGCAGTAGGGGAATGTAAAAAGTACTTCTCACTTTCCTCTATTTGAATTTATTTGAACTTAATGGAAGAGCGCTATCCCTCCAGGATTTAAATTTCCCACTTTTAATTTGCATAATGGCAGCCGCATTTGTTTCCAACACGGGGCTTTTTGATAGAAAAACAGCAGTTTAAACGGGGATCTTTCGAAAATAAAACCCTTTTTTGAAAGATCCCTGTTTAAACTGCCATTTTTCTATCAAAAAGCACCGTGTTGGAAAACCCCCCGCGGCTGCCACTATGCAAATGAAGTGCGGGAAATTTAAATCCCAGCTTCATTTGCCATTTTGAAGTGTCTAATTTACATCCCTTTTTTGAGAAAAGGGATGTAGTCTAGACACAGCCTAAAAGACACTGTTAGGGCTCTACACTCTACCCAGAGCTCAAAATAAATTACGCAATTTTTTATTTTGAGTTAATTTTGAAATAGCTTATTTCAAAATTTGATGCTGTCTACACAGTGCCAAATTTCAAAATAGAACGCTATTCTGAAACATCCCTTACTTCACGCAGAATGAGATTTGCAGGGACGTCGGACTAGCAAGTCTGTTATATTTTGAAATAACGGGCTTGCTCAAAAGACACGGAACAGCTATTTCAGGATACTGACAGTATCCCGAAATAACTCCGCAGCGTAGACGAGCCTTAGGGACTATATAGAGCTAGCATTGCTGTCAGTTGTTTGTGCAAGAGAGATAACAGTGGCCTCACTGAGTAGACCTGATCAGATGTGAAGGAGAGCCTATGCATCATTCTCTTCAATGGTATTACAACAGCTGCACTTCTTAGGATGGCTGGATATAATAGACAGCTCTAGTTTAATGCCATAATTTAGTTCATTAAACTCATTTAGTTTTGCTTACAGAATATAACTTTCTGTAGTGATATCTTGCATAGAGTTTGAGAGAGATCACACTTAGGCATCTGTGAACATAATGATTCCAATCTTGCATTTGTAACACATACCTAAAGCGAAAGCACTCTAGTGGCAGATACAAAGAAAACAAATCAAACAACTGTCATTTGTCAAGCCACGATGGTGTTTTGGTTTGTTGGCCACATGACATCTTCAATGCTGAATGTCCCATTTCTTCAGAGTGATCTATCTTCTATTTCAAAATTTGTTGTGATTCATTCAGGGCAGAATGATAAAGTCAAAAGTTAAAGAAAAAAATTCCCCTGCTGCTCCCTACCAAGTAAGCAAATTTGCATATTAGATAATCAGTTATATTAGTTTATTGCTGCCAAGATCTTTTGACTTTGCTTCAGGGTAGATTTAAATGATTAAGATATAATATGCTTTGCGCTGGTACTTTTTAGTTATTTTCCTAAAAAAAGGTCTATTTTTTTATTGGTTGTTGACATGTTGATTTGCAATTAAATATAGACTTTACACTAAATGCAGTACTTCTTTTTGCTAACCAGGAGAGAGACACTGCATCTATATTCATGTATTTAAACAATTAGATATCTTAATATACATTCAGTCTTAATTTGTATATGTTTAATATTAGAAAATGGAGAATGATATGTTTCTCATTTACTAGGTAAGCAGGGGGCTAAGTACTCTGCCTTGAGTTAAACTTGTGCACACCAGAGAGAGGAGGGGGCTAGCAGATGCAAGAGACAGGAAACAGGTAAAAATATTTGGGAATCTCTCTCCTAGGGTATGTCTAAACTGCATTCCTTTTTCGATAAAGGGATGTAAATTAGACATATCGAAATTGTAAATGAAGCCGGGATTTGAATTTCCTGCACTTCATTTGCGTAATGGCATCCACGGCATTTTTTTGAAAAGCCGCTTTTCAAAAAACAAAACAAAACACAAAACCACCACACACCACTGTCAAGACAGGAATCTTTCAACAGAAATGCCTCATTTTGAAAGATCCTGTAAACCAGCAGCTTTTCGAAAAAAGCCACAGCCACCATTCTGCGCATGCACAGATCGCCCAAACCCGGCTCTTCCGGGTTGTAATCTACTCACCACGAGCAAGTAGGTTACATAGATTGTTGAGCCCTGATTATGCAAATGAAGCATAGGAAATTCAAATCCCGGCTTCATTTATAATTTCGATTTGTCTAATTTACGTCCCTTTATTGAAAAAGAAATGTAGGTTTAGACATACCCCTAGTCTACAGCTGACTGCCTCTCCTTTCTTCTTTACCCCCAAGTCTCTCAATACCTCTGCTTGCTTGCTCTCCTAACCTTCTGCCCCCCCATCTTGTACTGTATGCTTTAAAAAAAAGTTGTAACCATATCCAAACTTTTAAAGCTTCCAGGAATCCACGAGTTACCTATTTTCATGGCTGGCTGGCAAAGTTTTGGAATCATTACTTCAATTATCTTTTTTTAGTCCATCTCTAATCTTGGATTTCAGGTCTGAGTTTCCTTAGTAAGAGAATTATTATATCTAAATAGTCAGAGTAAGGCCAACTGAGAGCTATCAGTTTTGAAATTTATGATTGGACTATCAGAAAATTTAGTCTCTGAACATCTGTCATGAGTCTGTTAATGTGTGTTGCTAAAGTTTAAAGTTACTGTGGTCCTCACCACAAAAAAGAGGATAAAATACTGAGTGTAAAACAATCCTGAACTTTAATTTTATACCTGTATGAAATATTGTGTACAAAATGACTAATGAATTAAAAATAGCTTTAGACATTTAAAACTTTGCTTCTATGCAAACCAAAAGGCAGTATTCAAAGCACCTTCTTCCTCTTTCCCAATACTGATTTAACAAACTTAATATACCTTGTTCATCTGAAGATTTTTTAGCTGTTGTTGCCACGTAAGGATAGTTTCTAATCGGCAAATCCAAATATTGATGTTCCCGACCAATACAGATTTCCCTACTCCCCTAATAAGTATACAGAGGGTAGAACTCAAATCCTGAAGAAGATCTTTGATTAAGCGTGGATTATGTTGGTCTTCCAAAACTAGAAAAAAAAAGAATGAGAGATACTGTTGATTTTTTAGATTTAACACCAAACTGACATTCCCCTACCTGAGCTAACTCAAAACTACAGCCGAGCAGTGGGTTCACTTACAAGCTGCATGTCATGATTCCACAAAGAAGTTTGCTCTGGCAGGTCCCATGGGTGCAAGATTAATGTTGAAAACAATACCGCTATCAAAGCATCAGTGCAACATTTCATGCCACGTGTTAATAAAATTAATGCTATGTCTTAGTTTTTCAAATAGATTTCCTATTTTCAAGACAGACAGTATTAAATATACAATGGTCAACTTTATAAAATTCATTTTTCAACATTACCATGCAAGACCCAGTTTTCTTATGACACATACCGGGAATAATTGTGTTTTCTTGCATACTTCTGTGGACAACTTGGCAAATTTGGATTAAAAGTGTTTTAGTTCATGATGTAAATGTTTTCAATAAAGACATACACAGTAGTCAGGTTAATAAAGAATGGTTTTGTTCTGAACTAAGAACTTTCAGATTGGATAAGGAGTATAGTATAGTAAAAGAGAGCAAAGAACTTTTGACCATGAAGAATAATGTCTTCTTTGACTTTATAAATTGTCTGAATAATATTCTTCAATATTGAGAACCTGATTAAAAGTGTATTAGATTTCTACTAAGTAAACATGTTTTTTCAAAATAGTTAAACTAGCTGAAAGTCAGAAAAGCAATATATTCAATGTTAATGAACCCATAACATACCCTTTCGTACAATTTTGTCCAAAATATTAAAATAGTTCTTCTGTGCTGCACCACTCAGTGAAGTTAGCTGTGATTTTGCAATTAACTGCAACAACTAAAAATAAAAAAAAAAAAACATTAAAAGGAAAGACTACAAAACCAAACATGTTTTAGATATTCTTCTATGAAAGACTGTAGCATCACAGTTATGCCTTATGAAATAACAGTGCAAGAGAGAAAAAGCATAAAAGTAAAAGAAAATTAGAAGTACACATAAGGTTCCACTAATTAACCTCCCATTACTAGCTCAAATTGAGACATACATTTTCAGTGTACTGTACAAATATTGTATTCTTGAGATTACTACCAAATGGCTTCTGAGAAAAATCCACGTAGTCTAAGAATAATAAAATAGTCACATTTCTTACAGTTCATGGGATAGATCCCCTTTTCACCATAGCTTTTAGAAAAGCTACCCATGTACAACTGCAAAGGGCACATAATTCATAATTTACTTTAAGCAATGTTTTCTGAGAGAGCATGTACACTGATTGTAATTTTTCTCCTCCTTAATCTGAACATTCTTATCTGAAATTGCTGTGCCAAACTCCAAAATTACAAAAAAAAAAAAAAAATCAATCAAATTAAAGGATTTAGTCTAGACTAGCTGTTCTCAACCTGTGACCTAGATAGCATACAACAGTGGCCCAGCTCAGTTGTGTGATAAACACCACGATGTCCTGGCTGTCACCTGGCCTCACACAGTAGGGTTCGGGGTCACAGCTGGCCCTGCCCCCAGCTCTCTGCTCTTGGTCCCATTCAGTGGAGGGGCATCTGGGCAGAGAACACTGGATATGTGGGATTGAGGGGAGTTAAGTGGAGGACATAAATAGGTTGAGAACCACTGGTCTAGACGATGTTAACAAACGCCATGCAGCTATCTGAAAGGAGCCACTGCCAAAATTCTTAGAAATGTAGCTGAGAATCTGAGGACTAACTCAATGGTAACATTCAACTGCTCTTCAGGTACATTATATTTGTCTAGTGAGGTTTGCTGAACAAGATGGAGTTTTAATACTTTAGATGGAATACATGGGCTAAAGGCATTAACCTAACTCACCCGCTATCACTCAAACAGTTTTAAAACAAGTTTCAGAGTTTGGTATATAGCAACCTTAGCCTGTGCAATACCTTATTGAACCATATGAAACATCCTTTAAACTTTATACTAAAGTAATAGAAAAGAAAAAACAGTTAAAGCACTTGAAATGTGAAGTATTACATAAAGATTTCATTGTTAACATCTTCCCTTTCTCTTTAGCTGCAGACAGTTTTCAGAAGAAAAATCCCCTTCTTGTTGGACTTTCTTTTATATGGTATTAAAGATGGCAATTGTCTTTTTGGTAGAGCCCTGCATAGGTTTGAAATTTGTATTAGCATCCAATCTACAAACATGATCCATGAATATCTGTATCCACAAAGACAGATATCTGCAGATTTGAGAAGCTCTACTTTTTGAGAAAATAAATTAGTTGAGATGGGCTGACACTCTCCTTGCTATTGTTAAAGTCTAGAGAGAACCCTCCCCCCAGCAAGGATAGAAAATGCAGCTTCTGTCAAGATGACTCATTTGCAACCTCACTGCTGATGAGACACGCAGGCAGCGTTAACAGTCTTATTTCTAAGATATGCAAAACATATACCAGCATCAGGCTCTTTAGGGCACTGATCTTAGTCTATTATTCTGGTCACAAGAAACAGCAGTAATGCACAATGTACAGTCTTGACCACATAAGGCCAGTCTCTTATTAGACAGAGGGGGAAAAAGGAAAGAAGAAATATTGTGGGGAAGGACAAGGACACACGTGGGGGAGGAAGGAAGAGACTAAGTTGCATATCCTAGGTTGAGTTTGGCATTCAGGCATAGATGGCAGTGTCAACTAGATCTCTTTCTTTAGCCTGGTCTGGTCAGGACATGTCTCAGGATCAGGACAATGAAGGCCTGAGGTCTCATGTGGCAGTGAGGGTTAACAGCCATGTTGGCAAAGTTCATTCCAGCAACCAATTTTTCTACCAAAGTCTCTTACTTTACAGATCCTAATAGGGAATGGCGGGTGGAATAGACCATCCCCTCACTATTTTGTCCACCATTTAAAGCTATTTCTGACAATTTCTGATGCACTGATTCCTTGTTCCACAATTCTTTTATTCACCATGCATGATTTTAAGTCCTTGAGTTATGTCAGCAGGCCTTTTGTTTGACTGATTTGGTCTGTTTCCCTTTCATACCTTTTACATAAAAATTTGCTATAGGCTGTTCTGATATCTTATTAACTTATACCTCACTTGTAATAATTTCATGGTTTCAGCTATTTAAATCTGAAATTTCATAGCACTGTAATTTTAGGGATCCTGACCCAAAAAGGAGTTTTGCAGTAGTCACAAGGTTATAGTGGAGGAAAGGTTGGTTGCAGCACTGCTACCCATGCTTTTCACAATGCTGCTAGTGGCAGTGCAGCCTTCAGAGCTGGGCAACTGGAGAGTGGTAGCTGCTGACTTGGAGCCAGCTTTGAAGGCAGAGCTGCTGCCATCAGCAGCATAGAAGTGAAAGGTGATACGGTGTCATACTGCCACCTTTACTTCTGGCAAGGCACTGCTTTTGGAGCTGGGCACCCAGCCAAGAGCCACTATTTTCCAGCTGCTCAGGAGTAATGGTGGCACTACCACAATTCCCCTAAAATAACCTTGTGACCTCCCCTGCAACTCTGTTCTGGGTCAAGAACCCAGTTTTAGAAACACTAGTCTCCTCTGAAATCTGAGTAGTATTGGGTAAAAGCACCCACAAGACCAGATTTCACAGGGGAGATCAGGTTTCACGATCCATAATACATTTTTCCATGGCAGTGGATTTGCTAGGGCCCTAAAGATGTGGCCTCTGATAGGTATGGACCTTTGCTCATTGATAGATTTGAAGATCAGGGACAGGGCTTAGAATCGCCAGTGGTAGACCATACACTGATTGAATCATGGGATGATGGGCTCATTGTAATGCATCAGAGTCAAGAGGAAAGGTGCAACATCTTTCATGAATTCAAGTACTCTAGATTATTTTCACGTTCAGCCTCAGAAACAGATAGCAGCAATAATCTGATGAATGGTGTTCACATTACAAGACATGCAACAGTTTAATAGCAGTCAAAATAAAATACAACTGTATATTTTTCAGATCAATACTAATTTATGAATAGTCAAAATAGATCCGAGTATTCATAAGTTAGTATTAATCTGAAAAATATACAATTGTATTTAAAGAATTAAACATTGCCTCTTAAACATAGGTTAGTATGGAGCTGATCTAAAGCACAGTGAATTGCAGATGGAGAACTCTGCTTTTGATTTCAGAATAGCTTTAGTATTTGACATTAATCATAGCTCCTGGCTGGTTTTCTCACTTCTACAAATACTGAGAGAGACATATTTATCTCAAATGGTCTCCACCACTCATGCTGGGGAACACTGCTGTAGGACCAGCCAGAATGCAGTTGTGTGGCAATTTACAGAATTCTCTCCTAAGATCCTGCTTTAGTTGGTTAACAGATTAACTGGGATTTTACATCCTCAATACAAATGCTAGAAATCTAAATAGTAAGATGGGAGAACTAGAGTGCCCTGTACTAAGTGAGGATATTGATATAATATGTATCATAGAAACTTGGGGGAATGGGCATAATCAAAGGGACATAGTAATACAAACCAGGGTACAAAATATATTGGAAAGACATAATAGGTCATTCTGGTGGGGGAGTGGCAATATATAAAAGTGTAGACTCAAATGAACTAAAAATTGTAAATGAACCAAACTGTTCCATAGAATCTTCTTGGATACCAATACCATTTTCTAAGTACAGTAAAACTCCATTAGTCCGGCATCCAATGCTCCGGGACTCCTGATGGTCCGGCACCATCAGGAACCCGGAAGTGCTGGGGCAGCCGGACAGGCTTCCCCCATTCAGTTGCTGCTAAAACTGACCAGCAGCTGAATTGGGGAAGCTGGGAGCAGAGCAGCTGGGGTGCTGCCGGGTTGGTCCTGCAGCGCCGAGGGGCGGCGCTACGGGACCAACCTGGCAGCACCCCAGCTGCTCTTGGGGACGCGTTGGCGCTGCAGGGCCAACCCCGCAGCACCCCAGCTGTTCTGCCCCAGGCCTCCGGATTCAGCCTGCTGGTGAAACTGGCGCTGCGGGACCAACCCGGCAGCACTCCAGCTGCTCTGTCCCAGGCGTCCCCAAGAGCAGGCGGG